AAATTCAACATACAACAAGTGGTGTCTAGCTATGTCTTTAATGTCTCTACTGTTTGCTTTGAATAAGTAGCTGACGATGTTTATTTAGCTATTGTCCCAACTGATCAAGTCTTCTTCTACATTGTGATTTGATACGAGGAGTTGGAATAAGAAGAAGATCGAGTTTGATTTGATAATTAATGTATGAAATAGTTTTATTAGTGTATTTCAAAAAAAAAAAAAAAAGTTTTATTAGTCATAGAATTATGGGCCGCATGGATAATCAAGGACCGGCATGGCCACACCGTAGGGAGAGGAGCCAGAATCGAGAACCGCGGGCGCTCACCGTTGATGGCGGAGGCTCTGGCTATAAAAGAAGTCGAGGGACATCGGACTCCCAACAACTCATCAATCTACTCAAAACAAACAAGATTCAACTAGAGATCTACGGGATCAAAATTGTAACCTCCCTATGCTATGGCAAAATCAGTTCTCACTTTTGTACTAAACAATCCGGTTTAATTGAATGAAACCAATCTTTTGATAAAAATACAACATAGAATTATGGGTATACACACAGAATTTCATGTATATTCATAAAATTCTTGCCTTCCATGGGAGGAGGACGAGTTGAGGAACAACAAAGGCATTTTCGTCGGGGATTGGACATCATCGTGTAGTAGGCCTGGGCCTCTGAGTTCATATTGATTAGCTCGTCCGGTTTGATACCGGTTTAAATTTCACTATACGACATTGGAATTTTGAGTTGAAAAAACCGTACTGGACAAAGTCCAGTTTCGTTTAATTTTACCTTTTTTCTTGACCGTATCATATCGTGTCGGTTGGTTTTTCGCATTAATTCAAAATATAAACTTTTCAAATGGTTTGGCGAATGTACATTAAAAATGAAAATTCTCTTTTCTTGATGACCACCAACACACAAAAGAAAGCGTACGGAAACTTCTGATTATTTTCAGAAATATTTTTTGACATGGTGAAATAATACTATTAATTTTCCTGTATAATTTTCTTCTTCTTTTGCGGCAACTTATTTCCATTTACACAGCTGCTATATCATTTTCGCTTTCATGTGAAAAATAAGCAAATTAATTTAGGGACGCGTTAATTTTATATAACCATTATATGTTATGTCTTTCTCAAATGGAGAATTACGAAAAAGAAATTTAAACGAGATAAGGACTACGGAGTCGTCTGTTGTCCTTTTTAATAGAGATCAGGACTCAGGAGTTGTCTATTATTATTATCTCCAACTGGGAGAAGATAATATTTTTTGTATTTCTCAAGTTTTATATCAAAATTAGATAATTAAACCAAGAATAATCAAAGTGGAAATATGAAAAAGAAATAAAATAATTGTTTGGGCATAAAAATAGGAAGAATCTAAAATTAGCTTTATACAGAAACCCTAAACTCAAGGTCAAGACACTAATCCCCAACACGGTTTTACTTACCATAGAAAATTCAAATTAATTAATTTCTTTGATTCTTTTATAATTGAGATCTTAAATTAATTACGA